CCAGACTCTCATCAAAGTTAAACATGTCGTCTGAAGCGATACCCACTTTTTTCAACCGCCCTTTGGAGTAAATTGAACCGTGGTTCAATAATTCGAGGGTCTTCTGAAGGGCTCTCCCATAGTCTTATTTGTGGGAAAGCCGAGTAGAGAAATTTGTGTGTCGTTTGATAAATTGAAAAGGCCAATCAATGCCAATGGCAGAGGGTGGTTTTTTCCTGCGCACTAAGTAGATGGCTGGCCATATCTCGCAACATAGGCAAAGTCAGAGCTGCACCTCTTACATCCATATCAAGTAGCCAATCCTCTATCTATTGCTCTTTGATAAGAGTGAAAATATGACCAGATGGCCTCTTTTCAGCAGCAGATTCGCGCCCATTGATCCAGGCCTTCAAAGTTGAGACAGGTATTTCAGAAGATCGTGCAGCAGCCGCAGTATAGGATAATTACCATCTTTCGAGGCTTTTATAGCTAATGCACCGGAATGAAAAGGCGACCTTCCTGCTCTGTCAACTTTTTCTTTCTATCAGAGCGTTGGGGGCCCATTGTTGCCGTGGTTGTCAAATATGGATTGAGGGTCTACACGTGGCTCATCATTGACGGCCATGCGGAAGGTAATCCAAGCAGTCACCATGCCACAAGTCTTGTGGGGCGTGTCTGCGTGGTTTTATCCAGTCGCGAGAGCTATGCTATGCCTCGCGGGGATTCCGAACAATGAGCTGACGAATATTCAAAAAAGAGCCGCAATTCTAATCAGTAATGCGTTCCGCAGGACAGCGGGTGCGGCTCTTGACATTGAACTGCATCTACTGCCGATGATGCTACGAGTAAAACAGACAATTAAGGCAGCGGCTATCCGCGTTCTCACTGGCCCGTAATGGGCGTGTGTACGCACGGCAAAGGAAGAACGCAAGCCAGCACAACGATGGCTCGGAGGGTGGGCTCCGACCGAGGCAATTGCCTGGAAACCAACCAAACCAAACAATAAGATCTGAGATGAGAAGCGGGGCATTCGTTGTCGCACTGTAGGAGAACCGAATCACCTGCGTGATCGAAAACCGGGAGACTGCACTAGAAACCCATAATCAAATCTACAAGAAAGCAGTCACCAACCAAGAAACGACAGCAAGGAACAAAAGACTCGAGAAATGATCATTTTCTCCGACAGCCAGGCTGCCATTCAGGCAGTTCAAAACCCACAGCGACCGACTGGCCAATACGTTCTCACCAGGATTTATGAACACGTACAGGCTATCTAGTCGCAGAAGCAGAGCCAGGATCAACACAGTAACGTCAATATCACCATCAGGTGGATCCTCGCACACGTTGGTGTGGCCGGCAATGAATTTGCCGATGACGAAGCGAAGAGTGCAGAGCTTCTTGGTGCGGGGATGGAGGTAGCGATCGGAGACGGAACGGGAAAACTAATTGTCCGCCTCGCCGAAGCCGCCAAAAGGGCAGTCCGATAGCGCATTCGGGTACGTCAAAATAAGCAGTAGGAACGTGAGCCCACTTCGGGACCCATAAAACGTTTAGTGGAGGCGCCCACTAAGAAGACGCTACGGCTGTACGACGGACCGTGGAAGCCGCAGTGCACTATCTTAATTCAGATACGTATAATAAGGACCGGACTTAGGAACCTCCTATATAAAATCAAAGCAGCAGACTCAAACCGGTGTAGTTGCGATACTAGTTCACAAACACCGAAGCGTGTTATTATGCAATGTCCGCACTACAACAAGCTTCGCACGCGATCATAGGGGCAAATCAGTCGGATCGAGGGACTTGAAATCGACTAAGATAAGATCGTATCTCACCCGCAGGCCACTCACTACGTGGTCAACCTTATACACTAAACAGGTCTCCTCTAGCAATTCCAGTATGTAGGACTAGATGGTGACGACGACGAGCAAACTGGCCAACGGGCCATTGACGTAGGTGTGGAAGACTATGGGTATTGACCAAGGAACCGTACGAAATCGGGTATCGAGAGCCCCGGTGACAGTCGACAAACATACTGCACGGACGCGTTCATTAGTAAACAGTACCAACATGAATTGAAACGGAAGCAGGGTAATAATAGAGGTGGTGACGTGAGAGTGTGAATGATGGCAGGAAGATGGAGGGTGCACTCTATGATGATAATTATAGGATTTTCATACGTAATGGGATCTGTGCTGTGGGCTGGCAGGAAGGAAATGGGCTGATTTCCGCACTCTTTTCAAATCAGCATCCATTTCCTCTTTGGGAGATTTGGTGCCTGAGAGATCAGGTACCAAGTTACGACCCCAGCTCTGGTGCTTGGCTACGAGTTCTTGCTTCCGCTGGAGGAAGCGCCTGCAAAGTTATACGCAACTATTTACACTGCAACAGGTTAATTGAACTTTTATTGATTGACTGATTGATAGTGCATTAAGTTATTGGTGGGTGGTTTATGCAAGGAAGTCGGGGTCGGGACAACGGAGACTTTTGGCCTAGTACTGTAGACAGGGGTTATTTCTCCGGAAATGGATTCTGACAAATAAATATCCGAACAGCATCAAAACAGACAGCATTGCGCTTTTAGACAGGTGGGCTTAGCTGTGCCCTCTTTAGTTCCCTCTCTTCATATTCCATAAATTAATTCTCTTTCTTTTCTCCGCAAACTTCTTCGCCCATCACTACAGTCAAGTAACATTCAATCCTATTCATAATGACCGTCTCATCTCTAGAAGGGCAGGACACTGCATCGCATCATTCCAAAATTCCACCAGGGCATGGTGATGGTAATTAGCTCTCAAAGATATCCTGCGAAAGCTGGAGGCCTTTTGAACGCGTTGACTAACTCATACAGATTCAGGTATAGGTTCTGCACAAACTGCGAAAGATGAATATGTCTACATTGCCGATAGCTACAACTTGATTCGGCGGATCATATTCATCATGACGGTGTGTTCATCCATGTTTACCAATCAGTTGGGCTTATGCAACAGCCTCACGACGCTCGAAATAATCGGAGAGTCCTTTGGTGTCACCGATCCTGGTAAACTCTCGTGGATAATCTCTGGCTACGGCTTGACTTTAGGCACATTCGTCTTGATCGGAGGACGTTTGGGTGACGAGTTTGGCAACAAGGCAATCTTCATCATCGGTATGGGCTGGCTTGCTTTGACCAGCATGATGGCAGGAGTCTCTGTCTACTCCAGCTACCCCGTCTACGTCCTTGCTCGTGTCTTGCAGGGCCTTGGTCCCGCATTGACTGTGCCTAATGCACTCGCCATCATGGGAAAATGCTTCTCCCAGGGCCCTCGAAACATGGGGTTTGCATGGTTTGCTGCATCAGCCCCAGTCGGTGCGATGGCAGGTCTCCTCTTTGGACCCCTATTCGCCATGGCTTGGTGGCCATGGATCTATTGGAGTCAGGCTTTGGGGACTGCCTTTCTCTTCGTCGTCGCTATTGTTGCAATTCCAAACATGCCTGTCGAGGGTGAGCAAAAACAGCGACGAACGATTCGCGAAACTTTGGACCGCCTTGATCTACCGGGCGGTGCAAGCGGTGTGATAGCTCTGGTTCTGTTCAACTTCGCCTGGAATCAAAGTCTGGTAACTACGTGGGATGAACCTTACGTCTACGTATGCCTGATCCTCAGTTTATTGTTCCTGGCGGCGTTCTTTTACATCGAACTTCGCCTAGCTCGCTATCCAATCCTACCTGTCGCCGTCCTCACTTCCGACATCGCCTTCGTCTTTTCTTGTACAGCAGCGGGCTGGTCTACATTTGGCATCTGGGTAAGTACTGATGTTTGCCTGGAAATTATGTAAAATTAACGATGTGTCTAGCTTTTCTACGTCATCCGAATATGCCTCAATATCGGTGGTCAAACTCCCATTCAACTGGCTGCATGGCTATCTCCTATCCTGGTCACCGGCATATCAACAGCATTGGTCGTTGGCAAAATAATCAACAAGGTTCCAGCCTCGTTCATCATGTTGTTTGCAATGCTTTGCTACTTCCTTACTTCCCTTCTCATGGCCTTGCGACCCGTACCCTCGACGTACTGGACCTACTTCTTTTTTGCCACCATCATCGCCACCTTTGCAATGGATTCATCGTTGCCTGCTGCCACGATCATCTTCGCGAACGCAGTGCCTCGACAGTACCAGGGTATGGGATCTAGTGTGATCATGACGATTGTTGTCTACAGTATATCGCTAGGTCTGGGTTTCGCTGGTACCATTGAACTTCAGATCAACAATGGCGGACACACCGAGGCAGACTTGCTCCATGGTTACCGGGGTACTCTCTGGTTTTCTGTCGGATTGACAGCATTCGGCACTGTTCTCGCCCTTATCTTTCTACTCAAAGATCATCGAAGACGAAAGTTGGCCAAGAATCAAAAGGAAGAGGAAAAGGCTGATTCAACAGAGGCTTGAATGGTTAAAGGGTTGATCATTCATCGATCATTCTTTGATACCTAGTGAAAATGCCTTTGGCATTACGTATTACATGGTAATACACGAGCTCAAGTTGGGAGGTGACCTCTTGTGACGCACACGTATGGTAGATTATTTCGGCGACCGTGAGTCTTATGTTGCAGAATGGAACTTCCGAGCTCTTGCGAAGAAGCTACGAAGACAGAGGTGAAGTATTGACCAGACGAGAGTTGGAGACTCCAAACGACCAAGCATATCTAGAGGAGTTTGATTGCAAATAGGCTTATACAACGAATTTTTAGACTGGCAGTACTTGTGAAAACGTGGCTTTCAGATTGCGCAAAGACTCCCGACCCCCGCCCCTCCGGGGAATGTTTAGTGCAAAGTAATTACAAGGTATTCTGTCAAGAAGAGCCTGAACTGTGGCCTTTGATCTGTCGTCAGTCATTTAACGCCTGTAACCCGTTGTCTATCGTTTATGGCGTAATGTCTTATCTTCAATTGTGTGTCGTCTTATCTTATGGTGCGTGTCTTCTCTCATCCGTCACCTAAACCCCATCATACAGTCTAATGTTTTCAATCTCAGCCCATCAAGTTTTCCCAGACCTCTGAGCGAGCTGCGTAAGCTTGAGAGCATCGGCTAACGGCAATTCGTTGTCCAAGCTCAAACTTCCGAAAATTCCACAGCACATACTTAAGTATGGCAAGCTTTTCTTGCAACCGCTACTCACAATATCCAAGAAAGTCACACAGATCGAAACTGCGATCAGGTTGATAAGCTTTCTAGATATCTAAGATTAGCCAACACATTCTCCCTGGGTTAGATGTCCTTGTCTCACCCGTCGAGGATGTCACAACTTGAGATTCGGGCCGCGATGGCTAACACGGCTTGGGCTGATTTTACGCAAAGCTCCATGCTCCTCTTGCGATAGTGTTCCGAGATTATTCCTTTGGACTGGCTTCCGGTCCATGGAAAGAAAATGATAAATATGGCCTCATGATATTTGTGAACCATGGTCAAGGTCAAATGGCGCGTCTTCTGATCGTCGAGGTTGACATACCCTGTTTCGTGCCGATGGATATTCTGCAGATGTGTTGGAAGACCTGTTCTCCAGCTTTCGAGGACCTTGTGTGCCTGCATCAGATTTCGTTCTCGCTCGTCCAAGGTTTGGCTAAGGGCCCTTTGACTGTAGAGCGTATTGACTGCCGAGCTGAGAGCGCTGGCATGTTGACATTGGATGAGCAGCCAATCCGTGTCTTTGCTGACTTCAGGTAGTGCATAGTCGATCCAGTCGCGAGTGAGGATCTGTTTCAGACTGTCAGAGGAATCCGAACAAAAAGGGTAGCACACTCGCAACTTACAGGTGGCATTCCATCGCGTATGGAATGGACGACTTCGATCGAGTAGAGGTACCACAGACTTCTCCTTGCAAGTTGTTCCTTCTCTTTTGTCATGGTCATGTATACCGAGTCACGATTCATAAATATTCGAGTTCTGGCACAGCTGACTGCGTATGACAAAAGTTGAGTGTGAATTTTGTGATCGATTTGCTCAGAAATTGTCGTCTGGGTGTTGGTTAGCTGTTGGAAGTAAAAGTTCACAACCCTTATCGTACCATTGCTAAAATTGTCTGATCAGTCAACATGTGGCCAAATTCACGTGAGGAATTGTTGACTTACCTGCATCTTCAGGAGTGTGTCGGGTGATCGCTGCACGGCATCGCGAGAGCTTAATGCCATTCTTAGTCGAGCGATCGCCTTCCTGCTCACATCAGAATTTGCAGAGGGTTGTGATCTTGTGGCCAGGGCTTGAAACCCGAAAGCCATAACTGAATCGATCAATGGTCTCACTGCTAAGCCCTCAATGGATGGCGACTCCCTTGCTTGTTGGACATAATTGTCGAAATGCGATCTCGTCAAAAAGGTGGAAATACTAGCATGATTCAGTCTCATCGCATTGGATGATACGGAAGGTGCGACGTACCCAAGGGGTTCATCAAAACAAGCTGCTCAAGTCAGATTCTGACGACAAGGCGAACTATATGGCGTGGAAAGGGCACGTACCAGACTTGCACTTTTCAAACAATGCTGCGTCGCTCCAATACCAGCGCGAATGGGTGGAATCATATTGCTCACCGCCGAGCCCGAATGACATCTGAGACTGAGCGTCAGAGAGTCGTCTGAAAATTCCATCTACTTCGTCTTGTTGAGTCCGGCTTAGATTTTTGAGCTGCTGACGCTGTGGCGAGAAAATTGCCGTCAGAGAGAAATCGATTCTTGGCCTATGGTCTAAACCCCACATCATTAGCAATTGTCTTTGTATCAGAGTAACATGTACCGTCCCTGGCAGATTCCCCACTGTAATCTACAAAGGCTGTGTTAGCTCATCTGGTGTTCATACGGTCACTTGCTGAAAAGGTGCAACGAATTGCGTCCTGATCAAAGCTTACCTTGGAACTAACTTCTTCCCACATCTTCTCATCATATCTGTCCCTCATGGGTCCGGTCAGGGACAGTGGCAAATCCAGCTCGAATTGTGAGGTTGAAGTCAGGTTTGCTGATACATCGGCAGTGTGTTCGATTGGATACGGGATGTCAAAATTAGCTTCCGAGTAGGTGTTTTTCGGGGGTGACCAAGGTAGCATTCCCAGCCCGTTCATATTGCTCATATCGACAGAGAACGGTGCTCCTAGATTGTCACTGCCGATCCACTCCATAGATGTGGCCGAGAAATCGTCGTGAGCATACCCATCAAACATGACCGGCATGACATGCCGGTCATTTGTGGCAAACATCATCTCTTGGAGACTACTGCCTGCATTTCCGGAAATACGGTTGGTCGCTCCAAGTCGTGTGGCTGTTAATTCAGGCGGTATCTGTACGTCATTCAGCGAGGGAACGAGTGTTGTGACTCCAGCGTCGTCGTTTTCTGCGTACGACGGCTCTACTGTAACGTCCTCAGTTGTTGACGCTATCGGAGGCTTGTTGGAGGTCTGCTGCTTCTTCGAGAGCTGATACTCGCACTCCAGATTGTGCAACTGGTGAGACGTATTAGCCGATGCTAACGTGTCTGAGGAACTTTGCTCTCACGTTACAATATCTACATGGCGTCGCACCATCGCCTGTGTCATACCCAAAGTCAACAAAACCAGAACGACTACCGAGGTGGAGCTACGCACAGCGGACTTTCTTCGACTTGCACATCTCACATGCACCTCTGCGCCGTGACATCCATTTCTTTTTCCCGACAGAAGGAGCGACTTCAACTCGGTCTGCTTGCATTGTTGTACAAGTTGTGGTGAGCAAATGAACAGTTGAATATACCTTAGTTATCCTTTGCCTTGGGAACGGCTCACGCTATTGGAGTCATCGAATAAACCCGAACGGCGAATGTCTTTTCAATATTCTTCGCCATCAGCTCTGCCAAGCTGACAAGATATGCTGGTCTGAATCCTGGTGTCGCAACGTGCATGACTTTTCTGCAGCTAAAGATCCTCCCCGTGCTAGTGCTTATCAGTATGGTGGGGCTACGCGGCACGCCAGGGCTCTGTAGTACCCGTGCCTTTGCCTAAATAGGCAGTGCCCCCACTCGCGCCGACCCGCTGAGTGAGAGTGGGGACACTGCCTATTTAGGCCAATGCAGGGATATTCACTCTTGACTTTATCTTTGGGAGTTTTTCGCCATCCACCAGATACTTGCTGCGATCCACAATTCGCAGCCTTGCGTCCTCTTTCCAAGGTTTCCCGCAGTTGCATCACGTAATGCCGAGGCCTCCTCGTCCGGTGCGATATTTTGCTTGTACGGCGTAGGAACTGTTGTCGATGCGTGTGACTTCTTCAATATGTTCTTGCAAGGTATTATCCTGTCTTGATGAGGAAATGAGTGCTTGTCGTAGGTGTAATTTCTGGCCATCTAAAAATTCAGCCTTAATAAAATCCTCAGTCCAACCGGCGGTTGGCGCGAGGTTTTCCAATATAATGTCGTAGTCTTGGACTGATGCACGTTGGCGTAGCCTCGCTGCTTTTTGGTGGGCGCAAATTTTCCGAGAGTGTTCGTTTGGTTCTAGTTCTTCACGGGTGCGTGCGACCAGTTACTCGTAATCGTCAATGATTGCTGTGTTCCTATCTGTCACGGTACCTTTGTCACTGATCGACAATGGATCACCGGAAGGATTTTTCGAGTGGAGTCTATGAAGAAATGGTGGCTGTTCCCTTGTATTTCCTTTCTTTAAGGATAGGTGTTCGACTGTATATACATACTACTGATTGATCCAATTGACTAGGAAGCATCTCCGCTCAACCTTACCATATATCGTACCGGATCACTCACTGCTCTTACAGTATCCGAACTATGGCCGTCGAGCCACGTCATTGTTTGCCCTCAGTAAAGTGATGCTAAGTATACTGCTTGGGCTCGAGTGTCGGTAAAAAAAGTGTAGATTGGGGCTTGTGATGACATAGTATCTTCCAAGGTTAGTTGACGTAATTCTGCATCGCTTATCCTACAGACATAAAAGGGGTCGTGACTACCATAGGCTTCTAAATTTCCATGGAATCGGTAAAGCCTGTTGTTATCACGGATGGATGACAAAGTATCAGATGCAGAAAGGCCTTCGCGCTGAATTTGTCGTCTGTTCGACCTCAAGTAGTCACCAGGATAGATGGAACTCAGAGAGAGCGGTTGAAGTAGGTCAATGTACGGTAATACTCCCTTGCATTCTTGACTACGGTTTGTCTCCGTGAGGAGGGGGAGTACATGAGTTGTCAATGGCATCAAAATTGTCTTCCCAAGATTTTGTGATGACACTTAATTGATGAATATGAAAAACACAGCCAGCTCGACATTGAGACAATTCATTCCAGGCATGCGAACGGGTTATTATCTCTTGAACAGCATCCAGGGTAAGTCAATAATAACTTGGTATACAATAACCATCAAATTCATGCTCTTCTCTCCCGAGTCCTGGATAGGAGGTTTGAATGTCTGAACAACTGGTGTCAAAGTCGCCCCCGTCACAGTTCCTCCGCCTGGAATCACAATCTCACCCTCGTATACCACAGCATCAGACCCGTGAATTGGTAGAGGCATGTCTGCATAGTTGATCCAAGTATTCTTCGCGGCATCATAAGCCTGCATCTCAGGGAAAACGGCAGTGGGAGTACGGCGGTCGCCTTCTCCGCCTGCCGTGAACATCTGAGAACCGATAGTAGCAGAAGCGACTCCTCCACGCGCAATAGGCATGGGTTCATACGCTGTCGACCATTGATGAGAGGTGAGGTTGAATCCAAACACTGTGGAGACTACGTTTTTGTTCCCAAACGCTCGTCCCCCCAATATATACAGCATATCCTGATAGATTCCTTTACCAGCGTGGTCACGTGGAGCAGGCAGATCCGGCAGGATCGCCCACTTTTGGGTTCTCACGTTGTACGATGTGAATCGGGACACGGTTCCTTCCTGATCATAGGTAATGTTTGTGTATGCAAGTCCTCCAGGGAGATAAATGGTGTCATCAACAGCCAAAGTCGCTGCACTGCCAATTTCTCGTCCTTCGGGCATGCCAGGCAATACGGTCCACTCGTCGGTGGCAGGATCATAGACGGCTGACTTGCCAGTCGCATTCCAGTACGTTTCATCGACTGCTTCCAAGCCTCCAAGATAGTAGATCTTGTCATCGACGACGGCGACATTGGCATGATTTAGAGCCGCAGGCATGGAAGCCATCTCTGTCCAAGTGCCGGTTGTCATGCTGTATTTCTGGACGATATTGGTGGTAGCGTATTCCTTGCCATCCCACGGCAGAATGCCGCCAAGTACATAGATCTCGCTGCCAACCAGGACCGCTGCGTGCTCTTGGCGAGGGTATTCCAAGCCATCGCGCATGATGCTCGGCAGTGTTGACCATCTACCAGAAAGAGGCGTCTCGCAGGTTGGCAGACCGTCACAGCCAAAAGCCAGAAGCAGAAGCGCTGTAATGACTGTCGAAAGCATCTTTGCGGTATGACAGGAGTTCAAGAAGCACCAATTAAGCAGTGTATAAGTTTCACGCTTATGATTGTCAACTATGAGCGCACAGAGCCAGCGGCGTGCTTAGCGCTAGGTTTAGGAGGCCGGGCCAGCAATGCCTTTGATGTGGAGATGTCGTTGAGGAATTGATGGAGCATCTAGTAAATGATCTGCTCGCATTCTACTAGTCCACGAGGTTGATCACTGGTGGAAGATCGGACAGTAGCATCATTCGATGTTGTTGGGGCATGGTAGGGTAGTGTTGCCGCCAAGTACCGAAGTCCGAGGGATCACCGACAAGACGTTGCAAGATATCGTCATACACTGAACTCGACATCGATAATCTCACAGCTCCACTCGACATGCCGACCCAGGTATAAGATAAGACACATTGCTTGACCGGGGAGGGTCCATAATCTCTGATAACCGGATAGCCGAAGTGATTCAGTGTTGTAAGAAGTTGGATCCGAAACCACTAGGCCTGCCAAGAGCACTCCCGGCTTTCGAGGTTGCATCGATGACCCAATCTTACCGCGATCGGCTTTGGACGGATCATAAGTTGTGATTCCCTTCGCAGCACGTGGGGGCATATTCGTCCTTATCGCGGTCGTGCCAAGGTTGGAAACCACCGATCGACCATTGAACCCCTGCCGAGAAACGCAAACGCCATACGACCGTCGACTGATGTCATATCTAAACCCTGTCGGAACTGTCCACACAGAAGTCTCAAACTCATTGAGGGGTGGTCGAACTATTTGCGACGTGGGCTAGTGGTTCCTCAATCGATTTAATTCGTGCTCCGTAGAATTGGATGACCAGGAAAAACTTAGTTTCGTCTGGCATCTGAATCTGCTTTGGTCTGCCACATACAGGGGCTTTATTCGTTCTGAATATTACAGATCGAGTCATGTCCCCAATTTTTGAAGTCTGCATAGCGTTGACAGCTCTTTGGTCGACAGCCGCCTCGCAGTATACAACTCATGGTTCCGATTTCCAACCTGATCACATACTCCGAGTGTCTGAGCAAGTGTTTCCTATAGCTTGTGTGACCCGACCCAGCACGTTAGTCAATGGTTAGTCTAGCTTCCATTTCCCTCATAGTCGCCCCGAGTCAAGCTCATGAATCATCAACAGGAACTTCACCAGGCCCAGCCATCTACCTGAGGGAAGATCAACCCACTTGGGTGAGAGTATACAATGATCTAGAATCAAAGAATACTACCATTGTATTGACAAATCTCCTTGAACTATGAGACCAGTATCAACTGACGATATTCCAACAGCACTGGCATGGTCTAAGTCAGTCCACTGCTCCATTCTCCGATGGTTCACCTCAGGCAAGCCAATGGCCCATCAAGGTGAGTTCGTTCAGAGGCCGGAATGGAAGAAAACATTCACTGATCAGACATAAAGCCGGGAGAATATTTCGACTACGAAATCAGGCCAAACATCGGTGAGGCTGGAACACATTTCTACCATTCCCATGTTGGGTTCCAAGCAGTTTCTGCAGCAGGACCTCTCATTGTTGAAGAAAAGCACGGTAAATCGCCACCTTTTATGTACGATGAAGAACGGATCATGTTCATTTCCGAGCTTTACAACAAAACCGACTCGATGACGGAGACTGAGCTGCTCAGGCCCTATGATGTGGTCCGATGGTTAGTCGCAACTTATGCCGTCAACCCATGGTCGAACAGCGTGAAAACTGATCTCTGAATGTTTTGCTCACATTTCTCAGGACTGGCGACCCCTCGACAATACTGATGAATGGGAATAGTTTCCATGGTATGAGTGCGCATGAGACAGATACGCCTGAGCCATGGGTTATGCCAGATCCATCCCTCGTGTCAAGCTGTGGCCCTGAAATGATTCAAGTTGATCCCGACAAGACATATCGCATGCGAATAATTGGTGGGCCAGCTCTGAACCTCGTGACCTTGGGGTTCGAAGACCACCAAGAGCTGTCGGTCATGGCTGCAGATGGGAAATACACCAAGCTGGCAAAAACGGAACGCATCCAGATTGCCTCTGGCCAACGCTTCGATTTCCTTCTCCACACGAAGACGGAGGACGAGCTACGACGTCTTGGAAAAAGTGCTTTCTGGATCCAGATGGAGTCACGCTATCGACCTATGAACGTCTCTTCTTACGCGCTACTCTCGTATAACACTACCATTTATCCTGCCTTCAACCAAAATACAGACTTGGTGCCTCCCAAAAAAAGCCTCTGAGCCTGCCGAACAAGGTTTACGACTGGCTGGAGTATGTTCTTGAGCCTTGGGAACCCAACGGGTTTCCAAGCGCCGATAAGGTGAACCGGACGGTGGTCCTGACATCGCTCCAGTTGATCGCGAAGGAGGGGGTGTATGCGGCTGTATCGAACCACACTTGGACCGAGACCAATCAACACAGGGGAAACACTCCATTCTGGAAACAGGAGCACCAGGAAGGGACCCCATATCTAGTTGACATCTTCAGGCGCGGGGACAAAGCAATACCGGATTACGAGACCACGGTGCAGAAGCATGGGGGTTGGGATCCAGGTCTCAACGTGTACGTAGCCAAGCTTGGCGAGGTCATCGATATTGTCATGGTCAACCAGCCAAATGGTCTGGCTATCGGCTTCGACCTTCATCCATGGCATATTCACGGCGGCCACATCTATGATCTTGGCAGCGGGCCTGGCACCTACAACGCGACAGCTAACGAGGAGAAGTTGAAGGGTTACAATCCCGTGATAAGAGACACGACCATGCTTTATAAATACACTCCGGGCCAGTATTTGGGCGAAAATAAGAATTTTACGAACCAAGGATGGCGGGCTTGGCGATTACATGTTCAGGATCCTGGGTAGGTCTCCTTCACTCGCGTTTTGTGAAAAGTTATTGTGTGCTGACACCGCGGTCTTTCGCTCCAGGGTGTGGATGGTACACTGCCACACACTTCAGCATATGATCATGGGAATGCAGACTGTGTGGGTAATGGGCAATGCATCAGAGATCACGCGTGGAGTATCGCCGGGTTCTGTGGAAGGCTATCTAAATTACGGAGGTGATGCATATGGGAATGCTAGCTACGATCCCCACGTGCAACATCATTTCGAAAGTGGGTTGCAACAGATCCTCCAATAAAGAGAGAAGATGTCAACAGGATTAGAAGAATGCAAGGAGATACCTGAGGGCTACCACCCTAGTGAGAATATAATTCTAATCTATGTAGTCATGTCAAAAGATCGAGAGTGTTTAATTGAACCTTCTGGAAGTTATAGAGTACCTTGGAAAATGAATCACAGTGAGTTCTATTGTTATCGATTCCTGATTGATTTAATTAATCGGCTCGTAATTTACTCTTGTACAGAAACAGGATTCGGCTCTACGACCCAGACCGAGCAAAGACGATGACACTGTTTTCAAGATAAGAAGGGTCGCAAAAGGAGAGTATAATCCCACACATGAAGGTACCAGCCATGCGTGTCGTCATGCCTGGAATGCTGAAGTAGAGGCATGATACAGAACAATGCGGAGGGGAGAAAGCCTCCGGTGTCGAGCATGAATTACCTGAAAAGCTCAAAGCCTGGGCTTCGTGGTAGTAGCTAGCGAGGTCTTAACAGAGACGGAGTAGTTAGTTAATTATGTATTAGGGGCCCTCAAGTTTCAGGCGCCATAGGGGTGGTGTTACTGTTTTGAGTTTCCGGCCGGGTCTGATTCTAGTCTGTGCCTGTTTCGGAAGTCGCACTGGGCATTAGGGCTTGCCGATTCTTGATGTAGATCTGGTCTTAGCTTACTTCAATTCTTAGCAGAGTTTCCCTTGGATGTTTCTATAAGCTAGTCTAGCACATGGGGAAAATACAACGAGATAGGTGGCTTCTGTTAGCCTTAGTGGCCTAAATTCACGGGGTACGCCAGGCGGATGACATCTGTGGCGTCCTCGAATGAAAGCAACAGATCAAATAGGCCAGCCCATGTCTTCAACACTAACCCGGCAGCCGGGTTTAGTCATGCCATGAAAGTTTCGGTCTCGAAAGTGTGGCAGTTACATCACCACAAAATCTGTGGATCGCCGCGTCTCGGAAGCTCGGAAAATCAGTAATGTGTCGGACATGCATAAAATTTATTTCCGGACTCAGTAGGGGTACTGATATCAGAACTGATATCCGATACGTCGGAGTCAGCCATGCAGCAGTCTTTGTCGGCCTCATCTCCCAGCTGGCATACAGACAGCTCAACGTTTAGTATGGATAACGGGTTGCCTCTGCCGACTAGTTCTCGATGAATCCACCAGTTCAACTAGTATCTTTGGCGTTACTCCCACATGGATGAATTCAGAGCGATGTAGTACTGTACCGAGGATCCGCTTCCGCCAGGCACGCTGGAACCATCTCTGCATCGAGAGGCTCTTTGGAGATCTCTCATACAATACCGTATCTACCGGCTAAATTCGGAAAACATGGTACCCTACAGAACAGTCGGCAGGCGTAGACCTGTCTGTTCACTGATATCTTTGCTCGGCATTTAGATTTAGTTTGGATAGGGCAAACAATGCAAAGATCAGTCGTCAGCCAAGTATGGAGTTGTCTGCAACAAAGTGAACGTAATCATCAGCACAAGCCCTTGCTCTCAAATTTTCCCATAAGTCTACGAAAAAGTATCGCAGCGATTTCCTTTTAGTAGCACCCAAATCGCGACATAATGAGTTCGAAATTCGACGTTGTCATCTGTGGCAGCGGCACCGCTGGGTTCGCAGCGGCGACATGGCTGGCACGATACGGAGTTCGTTGCAAGATCGTGGAGGCTCGATCTGGGCCACTGAATGTTGGGCAAGCAGATGGCATCCAAGTACGATCTGTGGAGATTTTCGAAAGTTTCGACATGGCCGAGGAACTGCTCAGAGAAGCCTATCACAACATCGAAGTGGCCTTTTGGGGCTACGACCCTACAAAAAGTGGAATGGGCATCGTGCGCAAACGAAGTGCGCACGCCACGACCCCGGGTCTGTCGCATATGCCTCGCGTTATCTTGAACCAAGCACGGTTCAATGGTATGTGGTTGGAAGCTATGAGGCGGCTAAATCGGCAGGAAGTTGACTACGGACACAAGGTGATGAAAGTCACGGTTGATGAAGAGAAAGCCATGGACCCAGAAGCTCATCCGGTGACCATTGTGACTGAGAAAGATGGTAAAGAGGACGTGTTTGAAGCTAAGTATTGCTTGGTATATTGCAATGTGCCCTGCTGTTAGTAACACTCGAAGTAACAATTTTTAGGGAAGCGATGGAGCCCATAGTGCTGTCCGTAAGTCTTTGGGCTTCAATATGGTCGGAGAAACTTCCGACTCTATTTGGGGCGTGATGGATGTCTTTCCACGAACCGACTTCCCCGACATCCGGAAACAATGTATAATACAATCTGACGCCGGCAGCATCATTACCATACCTCGAGAAGGTGGCTCCATGGTTCGAGTCTATGTAGAACTCGCGTCGGGAACCAGAGCGAAAGAGGTAACACTTGAACATATACAAAATGCTTCGCGTCAAGTCTTTCAACCGTATACGCTCGATTTTGCAGATGTATGCTGGTGGTCAGCCTATCCTATTGGGCAGCGTATCGCGGACCATTTCTCCAAAGCCAATCGCGTATTTCTCACGGGAGATGCTTGCCACACGCATTCTCCGAAGGCAGGCCAAGGCATGAACGTCAGCTTGCAGGATGGATACAATCTTGGCTGGAAATTAGCCTCCGTCCTCAAAGGCCATGCTGGACCTGAACTGCTCGAGACTTATGTCCTGGAACGGCAGAAGGTAGCAGATGTGCTCATTAACTGGGATAAAGTCTGGGCGAAACAGATGTCCTCGATAACCAAAGAGGATGGCGGTGTCGTTGATGCTAATGGCAAGATTGACTTCAGCGAAGTCTTTGTGAAAGCAGAGGCTTTCACAGCCGGACTGACTGTCACCTACGATGATTCCATCATAACTCAGGCCGAAGGCAGCAATCAGCAAGCGGCCACCAATCTCAAAGTTGGGATGCGACTTCAGGGTGTCCAGGTGGTTCGATTCTGCGATGCAAAAGTAATGAAGTCGGTGAATGCTCTACCTTCTGATGGGCGGTGGAGAATCATAGTCTTTCCAGGAGACATTCGACAGCAATTAGCCTCTACAAAGCTAAACCAAGTGAGTTATGCCTCGACCGAAAGCACGTGTGTTCTAACATATAGCCCAGCTTGGAACATACCTGTTCTCAAAGCATGGTCCGATTCAGAAATACCTACCTCCCGGCGCGGACATCGACAGCTTGATCGAGGTCATTGTAATTCTTTCTGGCGACAGACTTGAAATTCAACAAGAACAGATACCAGATGCTTTTTGGCCTGCAACCGGCAAATACAGGATGAGGGGCAAGGATGGCTCTTATTTTACCAATGGTTTAGCTTGCTAATCACAAAACTAGACTTACACAAAATCTACATTGATGACGAAAGTTATCATAACGGCCACGGTCATGCATACGAGTTTTATGGAATCGACCCTGGACAGGGAGCAGTTACCATTGTCCGCCCAGATCAATGTAAGTATACTTGGCTCGGTTCCTTTCAGACTCAATATTGACCCGTTGCAGATGTTTCGAAGGTCCTTGATATGGAAAACCATGAAGCGATTAGTACTTTCTTCGACAGATTTTTACAGAAAAAAGGACAGACAAACCGCTCGCTGACGGATCAGATGAATGGATCGTTGAACGAGCATGTGGAAGGTTACACGAGCGGATAAGTCAACGCATATACGAATGGCCACGTAAATGGACATGTGAATGGTTACGTTGAAGAATGAGGAAGGATGTTAAAGATGTTAAACCTGGATGTATCCCTTCTCCCGTATGTGTTAGAAACTTGCGTCATACACCAAGGTCTTGACTACCTATGTAATATCGAAGGCGACGCTACTTGGCAACAAAGGTATTCCATCTTGTCATAAATGTGAGAGTGTATCTTCCCGGGTTGTCGACAGTATTGACATCCACAATCTCTACGACTCTAGGCCCAGCGAAGCCCAAAAATGCCCTCGAAGCCTACTAGGTACACCTGGCATGTGCTGTGACTGGGACGGATCTAGAGATTCGTGGTGTACCGATTTCTGGCAGGCGACGGGGAAGGGATTGGGTACATGAGTTGTCACTGGCACCAGTACTCATTGTAAACTAACAGACAACCATCCTTGTTCCTAAGCATATCAATATTTCGTCGGGCCTCGATTTCTTGTTGTAACATTTCTGCCGGATCCTTAACATAACTCGATTTAACGTGAGGGATTTTCATATAGTGTCCGTATGTGATTGGATGTATTCGGAGCCATGAGAAAGAGAAGGAGACTGGCTTGATATGCAAGGTGGGGATAGTGGGGGAGGGTATGTGTATCAAGTTTACAGCTAGTCTAAATAAGGTAATGCTTTCGTGAAGTTCGGGTTCCTCGGTTCTGATTAAGTTAGCAATATTGTTAGCCGAGTGTCATGGAGCGGGGGTGACTGATTCAGTGACTCAGTTTCGTAATTCGCAGACTTATGTGGATCACACAAGATTTTCCGGCCCTCCCCGTCTGGTCCGTGCGTGTAAGCGGGTAGCGGGTCGGGCAGGGTCGGCCGGCTACGGGCACGCCAAGTGGAGAAGTCTGTCCAGCCAAAATCGAAGATCTAGGTGTCATAGGCTGCTCTATACTGTCTATATTCTGTGGAGGAGGGGCACCTTCCCCAAGCTGAGTTACTTGCTTCATTCTTTCGGTAGCACTTCTCAAGCACAAAGGACGTTCGCTTGTAAGAATCTCGTTGCTTTTAGCCCCTCTTGTTGACAAAACTCAATATCATGACCGCCAACGGGTTTGAGTATCCCCGATTCTGTTTAAAGTATGGCTAGTCGATGATGACGTGCATTCCCGAGTCCGTATTGCCGAGAAGATAAATGGAAATCTGGCGTAATCGCCGATAAGCGAACCAATGAACAAGAGGTTTTGTCGGGAGAATTGCATATGCGAATACTACGGAGTACATGGAATACCTGCTGTCCGTGACGCCAGCCAACAGTTGCATAAGGGTCAAGTATGACGCTTGGTATTTGCCTCAAGTTTCCGCGTTCATATCGGGGAGCTGGTTCCAGAAAGCGCATAAATGTAAACTGCAGACCATGGTGATATCACCCCTCCAAATCGTGAAGTAAAGCGATCAGTTCGTGTGACGCTGTACACACCAATCATTTGATATCAACCTGCCACTTGCCATGCATGTAAGTCACTTTCCCCTTCCACACATAGGCAGTAATGACCTTTTTGTATCAAGGTCATCGTCGTTGGAGCCGGCCCTTGTGGCTTTTCCTTGAGCTTGGTTCTAGCTCGGGCTGGTATACACGTGACACTGCTCGACAAAGCAGACGGGGTAGGTTCTCAGCCACGGGCTGCACACATCTTTGCTCCTGGTATACAAATACTCAGGCGTGCTGGAGCCTTGGGAGACGTTCGGCGTGCTGGTTTTGTCCCCAAGGATTGGACATTTCGCAAGGCTGATGGCACACCGATCGTGACCATTGAGGACTTTGCACCATCGAAGAGTCCAGATGCTACGACTGTATTGCCCATAGACACTCTAGGAAAGATTCTATGGTCCCATGCGCAGAAAAATGACAACATTTCTGTGGGATGGGGTTGTGAGGTTCTGGATGTTGTACAAGACGAAGACTCTGCATGGGTATCAGTCCGTGAGAATGGTGGAACTGAGAGGATAATCAAAGCGGACTTTGTGTGTGGCTGTGATGGAGCGTCTAGCCAAGTACGTAAGTCGCTGTTTGGCGGGGATTTTCGCGGGAAGACCTGGAACGACCAGATGGTTGCAACAAACGTAGGTGGAGACTTGAGAACTCGAACTCGAATATTTTGCTAAACGCACCCAGATCTACTTTCCATTCGACGAATGGGGTTATGATGATCTTAACACCTTCATTGATCCCAAGGACTGGCATATTGTTGCTCGCCTGACGAAGGATGGACTTTGGCGTGTCTCATACCGAGAAGATGGTAGCAAAACTTTACGTGAAGTTCTTGAGGATCACCCAGCCCGTTTCGAGCAATTGCTTCCCGGCCACCCCAAGCCTGAGGATTATACTATTCTCAACATAAGTCCATATCGACTACATCAACGATCCGCGGAGAAATACCGAGTTGGCCGTATCTGTTTGGCAGCCGATGCTGCGCATCTCTGCAATCCTTGGGGTGGCTTAGGTCTTACAGGAGGCTTTGCAGATGCGATAGGATTATCCGAGTGCCTCATAGGTGTCCATATGGGTCGGGCGGATCAGAGCATTTTGGACAAGTACGACGAGGTGCGTAGATCCATTTACAAGAATTTCACGGACCCGATCTCAACGAGCAACTTCATGCGAGTGTCAACTTCGGATCCGGAGACGATCCTTGAGAAGGACCCAGTCCTGGCCACTTTTGCTCGTATGCATGATGATTCTAAGTTTAGGGACGATTTTGACAGGGTATGTTTACATTCAAATAGATCTGTTGACTCAGTCTCACTCATCGCAGCACATTTACGGGATTCTTCATGACTTTACTCAATACTACAGTACTGGCGAATGACAAGCATCACTCTTTCAGAGTGAGGTTATATGAAAATCGGTGGTTTAGTGATTATGTATCTGGAATTAAAGAATCTTTCTGACCTGGCTTTCTTTCTGGGCTTTACTGCCGTAAATGACAGAGCATTGTTGTGGGACAAAAAGCTCACTGATAGAGGGGTGTTTTCTTTCTGAGATCCTGGCCTGTATAAAAATGCGACTATTTATATATAATACTGTGCCGGATATTTTCGGCATCTCAAGGTAGCCGTCTAACCATTACTAATAAGCGGAACCGCTCGTTAGTAATCAGCCCTTTGGTCTGGAAAGACGGCTAATGCCTAGAAATAGAGCCCTGAGAATTGAAGTACTTCTCATAGGTATATTCATCATAATACCTATTTATGACCGTAAATGATAGAGTAATGTTGTGGGACAAATACCTTACTAGTAGAGGTGTGGCCTTTCTTTCTAAGAGCCTGACTTGTACGGCAGTGCGACTATCCATACATGATACCGTATCAGGTATTTTTGGCGTCTCATGATAGTGCCTAGAAACAGAGCCCTAAGATTAAAGTTCTTCTTGTAGAAACATTCATCATAATACCTAGGCAGGAATAATACAGGAATACCCTCGTAAGTGAAGTAAGTCATGGAATCACTCTTCAACATCTCATGAATCCTCAATATCATTTTGTGAAACCGAAAATGTATTTCACGAAAAATCTGCCAATCTCAGTCTTTCCTGGTTTTATAAGCACAATTGAGGAGATTCTTGACTTCCTGATCTCCAATTCCACCAATAGGCTCAAAGTGATGTGATATAGCCATCCGAGAATCTTTCTTCCAGGCCACCCGACATGTAGGGGTAGCCATGGGCTTCGTCGACCTTATACCAAGGCCGAGCTGACTTCGGTGCATAAGTTGATCGCCTCCAGGACGGGAATGAGCTAGCGATATAGTCAGAGCATCAATTAGGTGTCGCTCATTGAGAAAGTAATAACCGCTCCTCTTCAAATTTTTCATGAGAGCTTCGCTCTTCACTGCCATACCAATGCTTCCCATGAAACCAATGTCAATGACCGAAGCTGGAAGATTCTGGCCATGACGATAGTTGACAAATGCGTCTAAGAACGAGTTTGCCGCGTTGTAGTTCCCCTGTCCCCATTGACCTGTGATGCCACAGATCGAAGAGAAAAGCAAGAAAAAGTCTAGGTCCGCAGAAAGGGTAGCGTGATGGAGGTTCCAAGTGCCTTGAACCTTTGGCTGTACACTACTTTGCCACTCATTGAATGTCATCTGTGACATTAAGTTGTCCTGCGAAGCCATTTAGCAAAATTTCACATCAAAGGTAGATATATTCACCCGCATAACAGCTGACATCTGAACGACGCCAGCAATTGGGGTCGTCGCTTGCTTGATGGCTTCCTCTACATCTGGCAGGCTTGTGATACTGCCCACAAATGGTGTGACTGTACATCCTTGGGCTCGAAGTCCGTCAAAAAAAGGCGTAGTCTCAGGCCCTTCCTTCGCAGAGCGAGAAAAGAAAATGATTTCTCGAGCTCCATTTTCTACCATCCATGTCGATATCATCCGGCCGAGTCCCCCCAGTCCTCCAACTAGTAGGTAGCAGCAGTTGGATCGAAAATGGACAGATGCAGGGACCACAGCGGTCATAGGGCTGACGTTTTGAGAGCTAACGTTGTGTTCAACAGGGCGGGCTGCTAGATTAGCATACTCTGCTTCAGCTGTTGTCCATTGTAGCCTTGGTATCTTGATTTCTCCATCAACAATCGCGTATTCGTAGTCATGGTCGAGGTCTTTCGACTTGACGCGACGGCTGAGGCCTTCGTATATTTTGAGGAGCGATTTGCTCAAGCTGGCATTCATTGTGCGCTTCGGATCCAATTCCACCGTGGTAATGTCCTTTTTGAATTCAGATCTGATGGTTCTCATCAGGCCGAGTATCATTGATGAGTTAGGATTCTTGCAATAGATCTGGGCACTTGGAGTAACCCAGATCATTTTGCCTTTCATGCCTGAGACAAGCTTCACAAATTTAGACAGTTCAGCTTCTGTGATGTTGTACAGATATGGCTCATCGAAGTCGACAAATACCATAGTGTCTCGGTTAGGTGGTATGTCGTCATATATCGTTCTTTTCACGCACTTTATGTTGTGGTTCCCGAAGGTCTTCTCAACTTCGCGAATGAGAGGAAGATGATATGCGGGACCGACAACCGTAATTTCCGACGAAATTTCGGGAACAGATTCATTCAGCCTCGCGAAAACTTTGGGTGCTGAGGTCGATTTGTTATCCTGGCCGTCAAATACGAAATCATTCTCTATCAGTGCCGCATACACATCTTCAAAGGCGGACTTGGTTTTAGGACCAGTTGAAGCATTTGAAGACTCTTTGGTCAAGTAATCCTAGAGATCATTATCAGCATTATATTTCTTGCGATGTCATGTTCCACATACCTTTAGCACCAATAACCATTCTGGTTCTGGAACGCCCTCGAGCAGTACTAGATGTCCTCGAGGATGGATAAGTTGTTTGAGCTTTTTTGCACCACTTGGTGCATTGCTCGCCAATGCTGCAAACTGAATGTATGTTAGCGAAAGCCCTTTTGAATTTTCGCTACTCTTACGTCTGTAATGATTATGAGATCATAGGTTCCTGCCTTCAATCCTTGATCTTCAATGCTTTTCTCGGCGTTGAAAAAGAGCGACTGAACATCACCGCTTTCCCTTGGACTCTCCTTTCGGTTGGTTGTAGCATCCAGTGACGTCGAAGCGGACAGGTATGAGGAATATAACGGCTCATCAAATTGTGTTCGAAGACCCTTCAGCACTAGATTTGTGCTGTCTTTTGGGCCACTTCCGAGTTCGAGGACTTTCAGCTTGGGGTTCTTATGAGCTAGGAGCCGAAGTAATTCGCACAGCGTCCCACTGTTCCGGATGAGTGGATGCAATTGATCAAGTAGGAGCTGTCTCTCGCTGTCGCTTTTCGAGAACGGAGTATTGTCTGTGAGACACCTTTCCAATGCAAGACCGAAGGAGGACTGTTCTGTTCCACTTATTTGAGTCTTGAGCAATTCAATAAGCTTGGTACGGCTGCTGGGCTCGCACTCGACAAAAGGAGATACATCGGGTACTAGTCCGAATCTTCCCTTTCTCCTGGTGCCAAGTATCTTCAGAATCCTCTTCGAGTATGGTTGGCTGTGTGCGCCAATATCCTCTGACCGCAGAGCAAAGAGTAGAGCTAAGCGCTCGAGGGCAACAGTTGAGTCTAGATCAGACTGAAACGATGCCAAAAGATCATTCAAGCTGTGGTAAGTTGAATCAATGTCCCAATTGATAAAGGAAAACAGCTTGCTGTCTGATTGTTGTTCCAGGTCAGGGATGGCGGTGATTTTGCACTGTCCACTGAGGATTGGAAGACCACTTTCATTCACAGCAGAAAATCTGTACGTCGAATCCTGAGGGTGACCTGGGCTGACCACTCCGTTCACTTTAAGCTTGCTCCAAGCGTCGTTGGAAACGACAAGGTGCTGGATCGATGTTATAGCAGACAAATCGGCCAATAGCCGACCTTGGCCTTTGCAAGCTGCGATCATCGAGACTTGCAAACAGTGGTCGATGAAGACTGGATGAGCGACAGAATCCGTTGCATCGAGCATTGGCATAACCTTGGCACTCGCTTTGTTTTCTGTGAAGGCTGCCGAGATATCGCGGAGGCCTCGCTGTGAGGCGCCATACTTGATGCCACGATCTGCTATCATTTCATACCAGTAGTCTGAACTGACCGGCCTGTGGGAACCTTCATTAAAAGTAAGATCTTGCAGCATTTCTGTGTCGAGAACGGCCTCCCGTGCTACCAGACCGGTACACAGCTCTATCGATTGGCCTGCATTGTGGGAAGCAATCTCGATCTCATACCACTGTTTGTTCTCCTCATTCAGGCCATGTTGTCGAAGCTTCGTGTGAAGTTCAAGTTTGTCGTCGGAATCGAAAACCAGAGCAGAGGTAATGGAGAGATTTTTCACAGAGAAGAATTCCAACTTTGACTCTGACAGCTGCCGCACACATTCACCGGCTATCGCCACGTATCCAGCAACTGGAAACGTCTTGCTGCAGAATATCAATTGGTCACAGAGCCATGGATCATCTTCCAACTTGAGAAAGCTCGTCCATGATAGTTCATTGTCACTGCTTTGAGGGGCTCTTGAGCCAAGAAGTCTCTGACTCGGCCGTTTCTGTGCTTGATGCATGTCCAGGTTTAAGATCCTTTGTCTGAGATTGTCGTTACCATTCCGATTGCTATGTCCGATATATGCGCTTACTTGAAGGCTGAGCTTCAGCGTAAGACTTCTCAACGTTCCCGCTGACATATGCTAGCTTCGGCTTCTAGTTGTCTCGTCGGGCTCTGTTCAACGTTCCCGTCCCGGTTAACTGTTCCAGCAGATTAACCGAAGCGGCATCGCGCCATAACCATCCCTGCAAGCCACAAACTTTAATAGACTTTCAACAACCGTTCATTAGGCAAAGCGAGATTTCGCCTCTTATCGGAATTTCGGAATTTGACAAGCTGTACCTTTTCGCATGTTTTGTTCGGTAGTAGAGCAGCCGAGGTGCGAATAGCCTTATCGTATCCGCCGTAATCCCGATACAAGCATGGTCGCCTAAACGATTTAGACTACCCTAGAATGTTACATGTCACATTTACCGGCTATCGGATTTTCTACGTTCATATCAACATGGAAAACAGGTCTGATACCAGTAAGAGGTTTGGCTACAGGGCTTAACTACGTATTGATGTCACAGAGTGTTAAGACTGCATCTACCTGAGCCCAATCTCAAAGGGCCAAGTGTCCCAGCACTTCCGAGCGGCATGTGGCTAAGGATCGTTTCCGCGCCTAGTTTAAAAGCTGTTATGTTATGCTCATCGTCTGATAGGCTCCATATGGGATCCACCGCAGATGACGAGATAGCTACGATCCGAAGAACCACTTAGAGGGCATTTTGTTTCAGGAGTGCATGATGCTGACAGGCACGCCTCATAGACACTTATCGCAACAGCAACAAGGCCAAGTGTGTTTTGAACTACAGTGATACGTATTTATATCAGACTGATGCACCAGAGCTTCTATTCTGGACTGTCATGTTTCTAAGCCCTAGAGATCAAGACATTTAAAATCGATCGATTTTTTTTTCCCTATCATCTGGTAAACCTCCCATCACAATATTATGGCTGGATCATTGAAGCTGTATGTATTTGGGGATGAGACCGGGGACTTCGCAGAGTCACTACAAAGGCTGTGTGAGCGAAGGAAGGAAGTTCTTTTCCTACATTTCTTAGAAGAGCTTAACAAGGTTCTGAGAGATGAGATACGCCGACAGCCTCGCGACGTACGCGTGCAGATTCCAGAATTCACAGATGTGCTGGATCTTGTCAGACGATACCGTTACTCGGGATCCCACAATCAGATCCTCGAGACTACTCTGACCTGCGTGTGCCAATTGGCGACTGTCATCAGGTATTTGCATTTATAAAGTGTTTATGGTCACAACTAACTGAGTATATAGCTTTTTTGGCAACAAAACATCTCAATACTTTTCTCAGTCCGACAGTGCCTTCGTTGGATTCTGTACTGGTTTGTTGTCGGCCTCTTCAGTCGCTACCAGTCGAGACACGTTACAGTTAATCTCTAATGCTTTGACAACCGTCAGAGTAGCTTTCCGGATTGGCGTCAAGGTTAATGGAGCTGCTCAACGATTGTCGAAGCATGGCGATACTGCTGCCGCTCAGAGCTGGACAACACTCATAATAGGGGCTCAGAAAGAGGCCTCGATAGCGGCACTGGCAAAATTCAACGAATCGAAGGGTGTTCCAAAGGCTAATCAGGCTTACATAAGTGCGAGCAGTAAAGATGTGGTTTCGATTAGTGGGCCCCCGGAAACGACTGCCTCTCTACTTCAGCATTCAGAATACCTTCAGAAGTTCAGGACAGTCTCGCTTGACATATTTGCACCTTTCCATGCACCGCATTTATACAGTGATGACGATGTTGCGGAAGTGTTGCAACCGTTCTCTGACAAGGATGAGAAGAGGAAGTTCTTCATCCCCGTCATCTCAGGTGTCGGAACTCGATACTCTCAAGATTTGCATGTTGATACTCTTATGGTAGAGGTCGTGAGAGATATTTTGATCCGACCGCTCTCATTTGAGAATGTCATGAACACAGTCACAGGAACAATGACAGCATCGCCACATAAAGATTGCCAAATCTTCTCTGTTGGGCCGTCTCAATCGATCAACAGTCTTGCATCAACTCTGAGAGCGGAGACCTCTGTAAATGTGACAACAGAAGGACAACTTCACACGGAAAAACCCGACTATGAGCCTTTGAACGGAGCTCAAAAGATTGCGATCGTTGGAATGTCAGGTCGCTTCCCCAACTCAGACGATCTTGAAAGCTTCTGGAGTACATTACAGCAAGGACTGGACGTACATCGACGGGTTCCTCCGGACCGTTTTGACATCGATGCACACTACGATCCCACTGGGAAAAAACTCAATTCTACTCATACTCCGTATGGATGCTTCATCGAAAACCCAGGTCTATTCGACCCACGTTTCTTCAATATGTCCCAACGGGAAGCCTACCAAACAGATCCTATGGGAAGACTTGCACTAGTGACAGCATATGAAGCTCTCGAAATGTCAGGGTTTGTGCCTGACAGAACACCGTCTTCAATGTTGAATCGAATTGGTACCTTTTATGGACAAACAAGTGATGATTGGCGGACACTCAACGCTGCAGAGAAGATTGATATGTACTATATCCCAGGAACGATTCGAGCTTTTGCCACTGGTCGAATCAACTATCATTTCAAGTTCACAGGACCAAGTTACAACATTGACACAGCCTGTTCGTCCAGCTTTGCTGCAATTCAACTGGCGTGTACGTCATTATTGGCAAAGGAATGCGATACTGCTCTGGCCGGAGGACTCAATGTCATGACATCGCCAGATCTCTTTGCAGGTTTGAGTCGCGCACACTTTTTGTCCAAAACCGGATCTTGCAAAACTTTTGATGATGGTGCTGATGGCTTCTGTCGTGGCGACGGAGTTGGTACAGTTGTACTAAAGAGGCTAGAAGATGCCGAGGCTGACAACGATCCAATTTTGGCTGTCGTTCTAGGCACGGCAACAAATCATTCCTCTGAGGCAGTCTCAATCACCCGACCTCATGGACCAGCCCAGGAATTTCTTTACAGAAAGATCCTGAAGCATACAGGTGTGGACCCTGTTGATGTCAGTTACGTTGAGATGCACGGCACAGGAACGCAGGCCGGTGATGGAACTGAAATGAAGTCTATTACAAATGTTTTTGCTCCACGAGACCAAGGTCGCCGCAAACCAGATCAACTAATCCATCTCGGCGCACTCAAGTCAAACATTGGTCATGGTGAAGCTTCTGCCGGCGTGGCATCTCTGATTAAAACTGTCATTATGATGCAAAAGAATGCTATTCCTGCCCATGTTGGCATCAAGACCACCATGAATAAAACGTTCCCTCATGACCTGAACGAACGAGGTGTTCGAATTGCTTTCAAAGAAACCCCCTGGGTTTGTCCCGATGGAGGAAAAAGGCGTGCCTACTTGAACAACTTCGGCGCTTCAGGTGGGAATACTGGTCTCCTCCTGGAGGATCGTCCAGCTCTTGTCCCAATAGGGGGCAGAGATCCCAGAACAAGTTTTGTTGTTTCGCTAAGTGCCAAATCGACATATTCTCTGGACCAGAATATTAACCGACTCGCAACTTATCTTGAAACGAACCCGGACACATGTTTGCCAGCGCTGTCATATACAACCACTGCCAGGCGAATTCACTATCTACACCGTGTCTCTTACGCAGTGAGAAGCATCCCGGAAATATTGAAATCTTTAAGGTCAATCCAGCCTAAGGCTATCAAATCTGATCCGATAAGCTCTGGCAAAATCGCTTTTGCGTTCACTGGGCAAGGATCGCATTACGCAGGTCTCGGAAAAAAACTTTTCGAGGACTCACAGACCTTCCGAAATGATGTGATGGAATTCGACAGGATTGGTCAGAGGCAGGGCTTCCCAACTTTCTTACCTCTCATAGACGGATCTGTGGAAGTCGGATCACTCTCGCCAGTTGCACTCCAACTTGGACAATCATGCGTTCAGATTGCACTTGCGCGGCTCTGGCAGTCTTGGGGTATCACTCCAAATAGCGTTATTGGTCACAGCCTCGGAGAGTATGCTGCACTAAACGTTGCTGGTGTCTTATCTGTCAGTGACACAATTTACCTCGTGGGACGAAGAGCTCAACTTCTCGAAGAGCTTTGCACCCCGGGTAGTCATAAGATGTTAGCCATTGCGGCATCTGTGAGCTTTGTTGTAGAGACTCTGGGTGATAAGCACATTGAAGTCGCATGCATCAATGGCCCCAATGAGACTGTCATCAGCGGTTCCGCAGAGCAAATGGAGAATTTCTCGAAAAAGCTCAAGGCCACCAACATCAAGTGCTCCTTGCTATCGACAGCTTATGCCTTCCATTCAGCACAGATCCAAGTCATCGTTGAGCAATACAGAAAAGCGGCAAGCTCAGTCAATTTCGGAACTCCAAATGTCCCGGTTATCTCTCCTCTACTTGGGGACGTTGTAACTGACGGCAATGTCTTTGGACCGGATTATCTGTGCCGTCAAGCTCGAGAAGCTGTGAACTTCATGGGTGCCCTCAAAGTTGTCGAATCAAAGGGACTTGTTGATAACGTAATCTGGCTTGAAATTGGACCCGCACCTGTGTGCTCTACTTTCATCAAATCATGTCTCGGAAGCAAGACATTTACTGTGCCATCGCTGCGCCAGCAAGAAGATGTTTGGAAGACATTGTCCGGCACCCTTAGCAACCTTTACTCCAAGGGACTTACAATCGAATGGGAAGAAGTCCATCGTGAGTATGAAGCCTCCCACACCGTGCTAGCTCTTCCGAGCTACCGCTTCGAGGAGAAAAACTATTGGCTCGACTACAACAACAATTGGTGTCTGACGAAAGGCCAAAAGCTTGTCGAGTCAGCCGCTCCAAAGCGTCGGGAACGTCATTTGTCAACGCCATCTGTACAGAAGTTAACCAAGGAAGACTTTGGAAAAACAAAGATTACTGTTGTTGCCGAATCAGATCTGTCTGATCCTGATCTAAACCACGCAGTGACGGGTCATTTGGTTAATGGATCAGCTCTTTGCCCAGCAGGTGTTTACGCCGAGTCGTCGTTGACTTTGGCGGGCTACATTTACAACAAAATCAAGAAGGTAGAAAACGTTGGCATGGATGTGCGTGCTCTGGAAATCATGAAACCCTTGATCGCCAAAGGTCGTGATCAAAAGGAGAAGCAAGTCTTCAGAATAACTGCCACGGCCGACCAACCTCTGAAGCTAGTGAAGATCAGTTATAACAGCGTCTCTGCTGACGGCAGCTTGGGAGTGTTGCATGCTACCTGTAATGTTGAGTACGGAGACACCAAAATCTGGCGTGCAGGATGGTCGAGACTGGCATATCTGATCCGATCGCGGATCAACGTTATGAATGATGGTGTCAAAGATCGCCAGTATCAGAAACTCGACCGCAAAAGAGCTTACGAAGGTTTCTCGGGCTTCGTTGAGTACGACAAACAATACCATGGGATGAAGGAAGTAGTCATGGATCAGAAGAACCTCGAAGCCACCTCAAAATTGGAATTCCAGCCGTCCAACGACTATGGTGAATTTGAGATAGACCCTCGGTTCATCGACAATATCTCCCATCTTTCAGGATTTATTCTGAACGGATCAGGCGCCACGGACACCAAAAAGCAAGTTTATGTATCTCACGGATGGGATCACCTACAAATTGCTCAACCTCTATCAAGCAGCAAGTCATACAGGAATTATGTCAAGATGCACGAAGTTCAGAAAGCGACCATGGCGGGCGATGTCTACATTTTTGACGGAGAAGAGATGGTTGCGCTTGTAGGAGGTGTGAAGTTCAAGGCGATCCCCCGAGCTGTCATCGATCAACTCTTACCTCCTCTCAAGGGAGCCACATCTCAAATGGCTGCCATCAAAGACAAGCCAGTCAAGGACTTAAAACCCCTCAGGAAGTCTTTGCCTCAACAGAAACCAAAGGCGGCTGTGACTAAAGCCAGCCAAGAGCTACAGGATCGAGTGTCTGTGCTACAAAAGCAGAACAAAGCAATAATTGATGATTTCCTGGCTTTAATAGGCGAGGAGTTAGGTGTGGAGCCGTCGGAGCTTCAAGATGACACCGCGTTTGCTGATCTTGGCCTGGACTCACTCATGTCGCTCTCAATCACTGGGCGTATTCGCGAGGAACTTGGCTTGGAAGCTGTCCCGTCTTCGTTGTTCACTGATTTCGCTACCATCGGCCCGGTGAAAGCAGTAATTATGAAGCTTACGGACGGTTCTTTCGATGAAACTACGACAGCTACCACAGAAGAAGAAGACCCGTCTACGGCAGATGCAGATGACACTGAGATGGATAAAGAGATTCCTCTTGCATCTACAATCGCGGATCCATCTTTCAGCGAATCTATGGATGGGTTGTTAGCCATCGTCTGTGAAGAGTTAGGTATGGACCTAGCGGAGCTGCTCGAGGTGCAGCACTTCGCTGAGGCTGGTGTTGACTCTTTGATGTCACTTACTATCACCGGGAGAGCTCGCGAAGATTTGGAGATGGACATTTCGTCCTCGTTCTTCGTGAACTATCCTACTGTCGACCAGGCAAGATTAGCCATTGCATCTCTCATGGGTAGTGGCGATCAGACCGGAACTACCACACCATACAGCGTCAGCGATGATGCTAAATCATCAACGAGCTCTTTGACTACAAGCTCGGTGATTACAGCTAGCGCTCCGGTGCTCGACAGCATTGCTAAGCCTGACTACGACTTGGAAGTACAAGACATTAGTCGGTCGGATCGACCTGCAACATCAATCGTACTGCAAGGGAGTCTTAAGACTGCTTCAAAGACTCTTTTCCTTCTACCTGACGGATCAGGTTCGGCAACCTCATATGCTGCTCTTCCCAAAATTTCACCAGATCTATGTGTCGTCGGTCTCAATTGCCCTTTCATGAAAATTCCTTTCGAGTATACAACCGGAATCGATGGTGTTGCGTCACTGTACCTTTCTGAAATCAGGCGAAGACGACCCGAAGGTCCATATCTTCTCGGAGGATGGTCTGCTGGCGGTGTGTTAGCGTATGCCGTGGCATGCCAACTGATGGAAATGGGAGAAGAGATTGGGGCTCTCTTCTTGATCGACTCGCCATGCCCAATCAATCTGCAGCCACTACCATCTGAGCTGCTACATTTCGTCGACTCACTTGGATTGCTGGGGGTTCAAGGATCAGCGCCTGACTGGTTGATCCCCCATTTCGAGGCATCAATCAAGAACCTTGCTGATTTCATGCCATATCCCATGGATCCGGAAGAAGCACCAAGAACACATATCATCTGGGCTCGCGACGGACTTGTCTCGGAATCGGATGAGAAGCAGTTTCCGAGATCTAATGCCGAGGCGAAGAGTGTCAAGTTCTTACTTGATGGCAGACAGAGCCTCGGAACCTACGGATGGGAGAAGTTGATTGGCTCGGAAAACATCAGCGTGGATTTCATAGAAGGCAATCACTTCACGATGATACGCGAACCAAACGTAAGTCACCCAAATTTATCACTCACACAAAAGCAGATACTAACACTCTAGGGCAGGTAAATCAATTGCCAACTGTTCTGAATCGCATCATTGGTCTATAAGATGTTGGATTGATACATGTCAGGAAAAAAAGGCCGGAGGCTGTAGTCTTGATCTCATAAACCCTAAGATCTCCTACTTATGGACATTTATCTGATATTTTAACTACTGGTTGCATGTGAAGCTATGCCGTAGATACAAGCGCAAAAATTGTACACAGGATGACCATGCCTAATTAGGTAATAAAGTGAGACCGGCAGAAGACGAATTTGAAAAACCGTTATAAGCTTGAGATAGGGAAATTAAATTGTCCTGTGACTAAAGTCCAAAATGAAGAGAGTCCTTAGTATATTGTTGGTAGGCGACTGATCTTTGAGTACTTTTCGTGGGGCTTAACAGTCTCTGTGACAATGCCCAGCATCATCAGGGTTATCCTGGTGCGAGTCGAAGCGGTTTGTTGATGCTGGAGATTGGGGTAGGATACGGAAGCCCTTGAAATTAAGGCCTGACCGCTGGGAAATTATTGTTTGAATTGGAAGGGGTGATGTTGCCCAACGAGAAGGCTCCGCCGAGCAGTAGGCTCAAGAGTTGAGAATCTTGCAAGATGAGATCGATGGGTGTCGTTTGAGTGCTCAAACATCCGTGATACCTGTGGCCGACAATCAATGGTAGCAGATAGTGGTTATTTTCCAATCGCTCGTAGGATTTACGCATGCTATTTGGTGACCAGCTCCTGTCGCCGGTAAGTGTTGCGAGGTAATTGAAATCGGATTCATGCGGGCAAACGGTGACGAGCGCGTTACGTGTGGCGCAACTTCCGAGGCCTCCAACACAAAGCTATAGCGCTAAGAGAGAAACAGGCAGACCACGGCTGGGGCCTTAGGAGGCCACCACCTAGATACCCAAAGTGCCTCTCAGTCAACCTAGAGATTGCCTACTTGGAGTCAGATTTTAAACTTAACTCTGATGTTCGTTTCTGGCTACATCCAAATGAATGTGACGCAAGAATATGCCTCACTCTACGTATCCATAGGGACAAGCCAAAGATCCACATTAAGAAATGGTAATTTCGGAATAGCAGACCACACCGCACTCAAAGCTTCGGAATTGCAAAAAGTGGCAACCGAAGTGACTGCAATCAACAACCCTCTAACCATACCATTCCAGGATTTATCTCTTCGGTCACCATCCACACCTGCAGAAAGATAGATTGAAATCTTCGAAGAATCCCTTGAAGACAATGCAGACAAATCCTGGGACATGTAGAGTTGATAAATGGACTTGTTATTGATTTTTAATTTAGTTAATTAGTTAATATACAGTAACCAGGCAGGATACGTATGGAAAGACACGAATCCCTCTCATGCTCTATGTCTGACCTTTTCACACCGAGTCTATATTTTGCCATGAGTCCTGCTCACTTCCATAACCTTCGGCATCACGACTACTCTGCTTTGTATTTCTTAAAGGTAATTCCGACACCGAAGCTGAGGCCTTCGCAGACCCTGGGATGGTGGAGTTGGATCGAATCTTGTATCCGGGGCCTCGACTATTTCTTGAGGTATCCCCTTTAGAGGAACCCCTACCTAACTTAAATGTCTTGCGGAAGAATGGCCGTAGGGTTGGGATACATGCAGCAACGATGACTACATTTTGCTCGATCCTAGAATACAATTAGACTCTGACATATCTAAGGACTGGGTGAATTTCTACTCACAAACCCCAGAGAACTAACGGTACCACAGCCCAAACTGATACTTGTTAGCTTCTTGATTAAGACCAAAGGGTGGTCAAAGGAAGACTTACGTGGGTCTGAACGGTTCGTAAACAAGTGCAGATATGTTGCCTTCACGATGGTGACAATCGCCGAAAGCATTGTCAATCCCATCATGATGCAGACACCAAGTTTTGTCGAGAAGGGCATTTGCAGTTTCCAAAACGCACTAATTGGAACAATGGCCAAAACAATATCCGTCACAGTCGTGTAGGCGCTGACCCAGTAGGAAAAGTTATCAAAGACATCTGAGCTCCAGCACGTGCCCTTCAACGTGGGGTTCCACAACATTGCGGTAGGCTTGCATTGGAAGAAAACAATGAGCACTGATATCATGGCGAAAATAACCTGAAAGGTCACCATAGCGTACAGAAACCATTTACGAAGCGAATGAGGGTCTAGGAGATGAACGATGAGGATAGCGATGGAGATGTTGGGAAAGCTAAATGCGCCTTGAGGATATAAAGCAAATCAGCTCTCGAAATTTCATATCAATTGCTTTGGAAGGAGAATTATACCGATATTGAATGGAAATGCAATGATCTGCCAAAAAGCCGTTTGTTCATATCGCTCTATCCCATGCTCGGCGACGACCGCTGAAGTATGTCGTCCCAGCCCTAAAGTCACGGAGTATGAGACGAATGCGGTTGCGATGATACTAATAGCCTTCAGCAATCACGATTAGCTTTCCATATCTCCGACTCATCAGTTCATGTTCCTCACCAAAGAGAAGAAGATGAAAAAGTCGTCCCACCCGATGCGACTGCTCTCCATACGTGTGAATAGCTTCAAGAACACTGCCGCCATAGCAACACCGGTAAAGATCCATCCGATCGAGTGGATCTCTCCCGCGCGGCTTTCACTGAAATCCACATTTGTGTCGAAGGCGGCCATGATAAGAGAATGTTCCTTCGACAGGTTGGAAGCTTATCAGAAGTAAAGGCTTGGAACCTAAGCCAACGGTTCACTTGAAAGGAAAATCCCTATTAATATGAGAATTAAAGCCTTATCAACTTTGGACCCGGACTTGAGACTAACATTCGCCCAAACAACTGCATTGTCCACGGAGTAAAAAGTATTAGAAACTGGATAGAAATTGGCTAGTAATTATCTCGCTAAATCTAATCCCTGCCACATTTGAGGCGACTATTGGAATACGCGGTCTTGAAACCCTGCCATAAATTAACACGGGCTATAGTGCATATAATGGAGTTTCCGCCCCCGGCGCCCAGTGCGCCACTCGAATAATATTTATTCCCAGTTGTATCACACATGTACCATCTGTATGGGGCGCACATACTCATGATACCTTAACATAAAAATTTTAAAATCGATATACCTTAGCCACACCTTTACATAATTCAGAAAAACTTAAACTTATACCTTGTAGATAAAATCATGCTATGATTCTATTTGTTGTTCCATTTAATTGAGATATAAAGGGATTGGAGCCAGCATTAGAAAAATTAATTTCTCCATACAAAAATTTACGAGGAGGAGGACACTACAGGGGGCCGGGGGCGGAAACGCAATTCCGGTTTTCCGTCGGGACCCACGCGAAAGCCACAACTTGCTTCTTCCAAGGTCTGGGGTTGAATCTGGGCTCCATTCTGTCTCCTCAAGCGTGGACTATATACTGTCGAGATCATCGTGGCCTATTCAAACTTATCTCTGGGGTGGAAGTTGAGTTGTAGCCCCGAGGAGACAATGAGGCTACATGCGATCGCCCCTGGGACTGTGGAGGCTTGATTCCGCCCCCAACTCGGTCCAGCCAAACGGTGCCCTAACAATTCATGGCGTTCTATAGTGGAGAGCCTACGATCTGCCTCTTCCTGCATCAGAAGCCGAGGGCGAATCGCTTCTTTTACACATTGTTGTTTATCTAATTGCTTGTCATTGGCCTTATCAAGCAGAGCGCGACTAGACACTGCCCGAAGCGCCCCTTAGCCGCTACTTGCATTGGTAGGGTTTGTCAGTTCACACTTGCTGAGCCGAGCCTGGGGTCCAAGCCAATGAGAATGATGATCCATGCGCTAAGCTCCTGAGAGCAAGAGGGGCTTGAGTTGACTCCCGTGGCTGTATTGTGACGAGGCAATTCGTAAAATTGGCTGGCCACTTTTCCTTAAGAACCCCTAATGCTGCCAGTTTACGCTCGCAGGAACTGGAAATCTGCGAACTATTTACAATGCTGAAACAACCTCGAACAATGGCGCCCCCAACCCCATCGGAGATTCTGAATGGAATTGCCGCGGCCCGCATCGCATTTGACAAAAATGAGGCGGGGTCAAGAGAAGCTCTGATTGACTACAGTCGCGCGCTCATCGCAGCACTGGAGATTCCAAGCGAGTTTGTACAGCGTACCTTCTGGGCAGAAGTATGCATATTCCCAAGGCTAAATAATTACTGCTATGTCTCAAGTTTTGCGCGCTAACTATGAGTCCCCAATCTATCATAGCCTGCTCAATCCGCCACCATCCGTGTCGCCGTTGATGTTAAACTTTTCCAACATCTTCAGGAAGCAGGGTCCTCGGGACTTAGCCCAGCCGCTTTGTCTGAGAAGACCGGGATCGATGTCGTTCTCCTCCAACGACTAACCCGACATCTTGCTTCCATGAACCTTATCATTCTCCATGACGGCGCATTCTTTGCGACGGGTTTAAGCAATGGACTGGCAGCAGAGAACTATCAACATAGCATCTCTTTCTGCTATGATGTGTCCCGTCCTTCCTTCAATGGATTTCCAGAACATTTCAAAAAGAATGGATACAAGCCTCCAACTCTCAGTGGAATAGACGGCCCCTTTCAATTCGCGCATAACTCAGAGTTACCATTCTTCGATTGGCTCGTTGCGACGCCTCCACATCTAGATTATTTCAGCTCCTTCATGAGCGCATACCGTGCCGGCAAGCCAGACTGGTTCGACTTCTATCCGGTGCAAGAGCGGATGATTGAAGGTTTTGACTGTACCGCCGGTAACGCTCTCTTGGTTGACGTCGGTGGTGGCCGGGGTCATGATGTCGCGACTTTCGTTTCAAAATACAAGTCTCACCCGGGCAAGATCATCCTTCAGGATCGCGAGCCCGTCATTGCCGATATGCTCGCTGGCGGGGCTGAGCAAGGCTTTGAGGCGCAAGCCCATGATTTTTTCACGCCTCAGCCCATCACGGGTGCTCGTGCTTACTCACTTCACTCCATTATGCATGATTGGGGCGACGATGAGAGCGTCAAGATCATTGAGAACCTTGTCCCTGCACTCAAGAGGGGCTACTCGCGCGTGCTGTTCAATGAGATTGTTGTTAGCGAAGAGAAGCCCACACTGGCCGCAACAAACATGGATATGATGATGCTGGCTCACTTGAATGTCCGCGAGAGAACAGAAGCTGAATGGATAAGCTTACTTGCTAAGGGAGGGTTAAAGGTAGTCGAGATTCACACGTACCCAGGTGTTGCAGAAAGTTTAATTGAGGCGGAGTTGGCCTAGGAGAATTATTTGAATGTTTCGAATAATATTCTCATAGAGATACTACTATAGCAATGAATAGCAATAGGAAGATAATCGATATCTAACGGCTATTTAACGATGATTTTGGTGCAATATCGCAGCTAACAAACAAAACGCCCTCTTCTTTGAGAGCACTTTTGAAGCCAGAGTATAACTGGTGGACGGGGAGAGAAGAGAGAAGAGAGAGGGATCGAGAACTATCTAGTGCGTAGAGATATGTTCACCGCCCTTTTCTGCCATACCCCATCACTTTTGCATTTCCGCCTTGAATCACCTTTTTGCTCATGCCACACCCTATTAAGACTTGATTTGAGTCCAGTTTATTCATCATTCTTTAGTATCATTTCATTTCTAATTTTGCGTGAAGTTTGAATGTTATCTGATCAATTTGGTGGTGCTGTTGGTACTGTCGTGTAAGAAGTTATTGGACAACGACCCTGAATGGAGGGCTTACCTAGATAAGCTGGTTGCCCAAGAGAATTCACAGGGAAATGCCCAAAAGAAAGTTGCATTCGTGAACTATGATGTTGAGGAAGTTCACGAGCAAGTGGGTGCACCAGCACTCAATTTCTCAATCGTCATGCATGCACGAGCAAGTAGGGGGGAGCCTATGGGCAAGACCACCACTCCTAAGAGATCACTGCCACCAAACGTGAAGCACAGACCTGAGATGCGTAACAGATGGATCCTGGATTCAGGAGCCAATATACATGTCTGTAATGACAAGTCAAGATTCATTAGTTTCACACCTGACGAAGCCTCGCTGGCCACCGGAGATGCCTCTAGCATGTCGTATGGCACTGGCACTGTTAGATTAACAGGCAGGAACCCGGAAACAGGTACGGCAAGGGTTATCACACTGTCAGATGTGGAATATGCACCTGATTTCCACACTAGCATTGTCTCGTATCACCAGTTGAAGATACGGGGTGTGACTTGGTGTCAGCAGACAGATTGCTTGCTAGAAAGGGCTTCTGGAAAGCCTATCGTCAGCACGACACATGACCCTATTGGCCTGTGGATCTTTGATCGGCCGAATGAGGAGGGTAAATCCCTCTATTGACAATTAACACCATCCACCATTGTGCATGCAACCCGGCGTTCAGTCCAAACCAGAGTTCAGGAAGCAACACCTGAGCACTGGCATCGCCGGTTTGCCCATATCAACCAACAGAGTATTAAGAAGCTCGAGCAAATGGTGGAAGGAGTAAGGGTGTCGTCGTCGTCGGCGCCGAATCGTTTAGGAAGTGAAGGAGATCCGGGGGTGCACTGTGAAACATGCAGGTTATCACATGCGCCAAGACAGATCTCTCGAAGACCAATTGGACAAACCTTTGGTAGGTTTGGCAGGGTGCATTTCGATCTGATACAAATCCAACCTGGCTACAACAAGCACCAGTGGATATCCCATTTCTATGTTGACGGGGTGAAATTTCACTGGGTTATGACGCACGAGAAGAAGTCTGAATGCCAGCAAGCGATTAGTGACTTCGTGGCATTTGCTAGGAATTGGTGGAACCTGCCTATCAAGGCATTCCACTATGACAACGAGCGTGCGGCAGGAAGTGCTGCACACACATTCCTAACGAATGAGGGAATCGTGGTGTATCACTCACCTCCAGGGCATGCAGAAATGAATGGCTATATTGAGCGTGCAGGTGGTATGATCATCATGCGTGCTAGAATGCTCATTCAAGAGGGAAAGCTTCCCAAAGAACTATGGCCAGAGGCTGTGATAGCTGCGGTATGGTTATTAAACCGAATCCCAACCTTCGTATCTGCGGAGAATCGGTGGATCGTACCGTGGCAAGAGATTCGACGGGGGTTCGGGGGTGACAACGAGTTGCCGAAAGTGAACCTATCGAATGTGAAATTGTATGGCAGTCTTGCCTACTGCAGAATCAATAAGCAGGTGCAATCTGATAAGATGGCCCCTAGGGCAGAGATCGGATTTCTGGTTGGTTATATCACAACGAATGTCTGGAGAGTGTGGATTCCACATACAGGGAAAGTGAAAGTGATTCGCGACGCCGTGTTTGATGAATCGAGGAAATACACACCTGAATATCAGCACCACCAGGCAATCCCCCTGCCTATCGTTAGTGAACCGCAGTATCTGTCAGATGAAGAAGTTCTTCAGTTGATCAGAGAGATCGCAACAGCGGCAAGAGCCAATGAGGTAGAGCAAGCAGCTCAACAAATGCTAGAGCCGCTCTCCTCGCGAAGAAATGAGGAGGAAGATGTTCCTGCGAGTCAAGAAGAACATAGTATCGCAGCAGAAACTGTGAATGAAATGGACACTCTGGAACAGGAAGAGTTGCAAGAGCAACGAGGCACCAAACCAGCAAGGACAACGCCCTCTCTAACGCCAGAAAGACGGCAGGCCAGCCAGCCAGTGGAGCAGGTGCCAGGTGCGTTTCCAGAAGATGTACCATTGCCACCAACCCCGCCTCGCGAAGCCAATATTCAGGGGGTGAGGCCGCCGGTGCCAACACAGGTGCCACCAACAGCGCCCTCACCAGAGCTATCACCACCATCAACAGAACCTTCACAAAGGTTATCACTATCACCGTTACTGTCAGACCAGGGGGTGGAAGCACCTGGAGATGATGGAAACGATAGGAAAGGGTTAGCAAGTGATGAGAATGAATGGACTAGTGATGGAACTCACATTCAGGAAGAAGGTGATCTCCAGGAAGAAGGTGATCTGGCAGCAACACCAGAGACAGATGATGAATTGGAAAGGCAGCTACAGAGCGAGTTAACACCCATCGCTACCAGAGAGATATTTGGAGATGTTGACACCAGCAACATTATCTCTGGGAAGAGATCTCGCCAACCAAAACGAGACGATGATTACTACGCCCATACCACCATTCACCATCATGAAGATTCACCAATCATGCTAGCAGCCTTCGCAGCAGGTTTGAACGCAGAGAAACCGGAGACTCGTCGGCATAGAGATGACATGCCACCTCTTCCGAAGCGTTGGAAAGATGTGTTGAACCATCCTTTCCAGGAAGGCTGGACGGCAGCAATGAGGAAGGAGATCGATAGCATTACCAGCAAGCAGACCTATGAGGTGGTATCAACCCCGAAAGACAAAGGAAAGCAAGTGCTCCCTCTCCTATGGATCTTCGCATACAAATTTGACCAAGATGGGTATCTCATTAAGCTTAAAGCCCGGATCTGTGTGCGCGGAGACCTCGAGACCATCTCTGCCGAAGAGAAGAGAGCAGCTACACTTGCTGCTCGCACTGCGAGAATGTTATTTGCCCTCGTGGCGGCATATGATCTTGATCTAAGGCAAAGAGACGCTGTTACTGCGTTTCTGAATGCTAAACTAGATCAGGAAACGTACACCCACATGCCTGAAGGTTTCGCTACCCCCGGCAAGTGCTGGAAACTACGGAGAGCGCTCTACGGTTTGAGAATCTCTCCGAGGCTATGGCAGCAGGAAGCGGCTGCTGTATTGAAGAAGTTGGGGCTAAGGCAAGTCCCAGAGGATCCCTGTGTGTTTGTGGGGAAAGGCATATTGATATTCTTCTATGTGGATGATATATTGATTGCTGCACACTACACTGCAAGGCAGCAAGCTGCTGATCTGGAGAGAGCCCTCGAAGCGCACTGGGAATTGACAGACCATGGTGACGCTGAGTGGTTTCTCAATATCCGAATCATCAGAGACAGGGTGCAGAAGAAGCTGTGGTTATGCCAAGATAGCTATATCACTGGAATAGCCGCTCGCTACAACCTTACAGAGCGAGCACCAGTGAGCACACCAATGGCTGTCGAAGACCTTAAGAAGTATGATAGGCAAGCTACTCCCCGAGAGATCAACCTGTATCAACAGAAGGTTGGCTCTGCAGGATATGCCTGCACCATCACACGGGTCGACGCTGCTAAAGCGTGTGCTAAACTAGCACAGTTCCTGGTAAACCCAGGACCACAGCACCACCAGGCAGTTGATAGGCTGATCATCTACCTGTATTCTACCCGGTATCTTGCCATTGAATACTCAGCCAGTGTGGGAAGCCCGAACTCGGGTTTAGGGATCAAAGCAAGTGATCACTCGGTACAGATAGCAAGCGATGCATCGTACGGGGATCACGACGACAGAAAGAGCTCCGCTGGATTCATTATTCAGATATATGGGGGCCCTGTGGACTGGAAAGCCAGTAAACAGTCCACTGTCACAACGTCTACCACTGAAGCGGAGTTGCTAGCACTTTCCGAAGCCAGCAAGCACCTCCAGTGGTGGAGAAGGATGTTTGAAAACATCGGGTTTGAGATATCACATACCATGACGATCGACTGTGACAACGAGCGTACAGTCGCCTTGGTGAACCTGGAGAATTCCAGGTTTGAGACGAAGCTCCGGCACATTGATATCCATAACCATTGGGTACGACAGGAAGCCAGAGCGGGGAGGGTTGCCGTGAGATGGGTGCCGACAGGGAAGATGGTTGCTGACGGCTTGACGAAGCTGCTTCCTAGACAGAAGCATGAAGAATTTGTCAGGTTGCTCAGGATGCGGACCATCGATCACATGATCAGTGATTCCTGAACAGGAAACAGAGACTGATTCATGAAAAGTGGTTAAATGGAGCTTTCAGCGAGTGATGGATTCACCAGGTTGTCATCGAGGCCAGAGAGCAGTGAGCGCTGACCCCGATGAGGGGGTGTGTCGGTGAATTGCCAGCAAGGATCCACTATTATTTGTAATTACTTAGTCATGTTAGATCCCCCTAGTTATAAATTGCCAGAACCAGGGGTAATAAAAGACAGAGCATTCATACATTCTTATTGGCCAGGGCGAGTGAGCATACCGACAGTTTCCATTACCCCTAATTCTGGCAATTTATATATAGGTGTAATTTACTTGCTGAATAATGAACAAACACGACAAACAAGTGGGCCTGCTTTCTCAGGCTTCCGACACACCCCCTCATCTTGCGCAGATTGGGCAAGATGACCCT